TCTACATGCTTTCTGCATTTGAAATAATGATATTTTGAAATATTTTTTAACGAAATTTTTCTGTTTTGATCATGATAAGGCTGTGAGTAATGAAGCGAATCATATAATGAACAATTTAATTTCACAAGAATCGTGACAAAGTATGCTGTTCATAGTTCAAATAAAGGTGTTCAAGTGTTAAAACCACAACGAGGGTTTGTCTCGATATATCAGGGAACAGTTAATAATCACAATTATGCATCTCTCTTTTCATTCGTCAAAAAACATTATTGCCCTCAAACATCTTTGATAACTTTCTTATTTGCAGCTAGAAATATAGCCTGAGGAAACATCTTCACAAGGTCTCACTATAACGACATCTGTCCTATACCTTGACTGCAATAGTTCCCATTCCCGTATCACAGAAGTTTGTAAATGCAGCGATTTGATTGGATTGTACGCCAGCAAATACAGTCAATCAAGGTTATCGATAAAAGATTACAAAAAAGCAATAAGTTTACAGTCGAGGTCTCTGATTGGCTGTAATCGCTGCATTCCATGATACAAGAATAACGGCTATTGCAGTCAAGGTATAAGCTTGACATTGTGAAGATGTCTGGAGAGATGATCTTTGCAGATAACTGATCTGCAGTTTTAGACTGTTTCAATTATAAATAAGAAATATATCCCAGTGTTTATGGTTGTCAATAAATTTGAGTGTTCTCAACATTATGAGTTACTTGTCTTGTACAAAGTTCACCACGAACGACAACTGACGGCACCAGTAACAATAAGTAGCCTTAAACAATATACATTCTAGTAACTACAAATATAGGATCGTACGATACGTCCACACAATAAGCAAAAGGGAAAAGAAACGAAACATTAGTAGTACGCTTTGCATAATCAAATTAGGGAAAGTCAGCTCTACACATTTTGTTTCGTATATTTTCTGAGGTTTGTTTTACACATTCTTGGTTCTGGTATAACCCTTTATTTAATCAAGTAACAGAAACGCATGCATCAATACTAAGAAGAGAACAAAAACGTCTGTTGCTGTAATTCAATTCAAAGTTTGGGAAAATGGTCTTTTTTAAGGTTTTAAAATTCTTATTCATCTAATTTGCATATATCAACGTTTTACAAATTCAAGCGCCTTTCTAAGCCTGATACAAAACTTAAACGATGAAAGAACAAAGGATTTGTTAAGTTTGTGTATGTACATATAAATAGGCCCAATGACTAAAATATAATATTAGTAAACCTATGCATACAAGTGATACCAAAGTACACTCTCATAAACAAAATATTTCACATTTCGTTTCGTTTTAATCAATGGTTTACTGTTTGACGGTAGCAGTAAGGTGCCATCGTACAAAATGTACCAACAACAAAACATGAAACGAAATGTCATAATTCTATTTAAATCAAATGGATTTATGTAATAATGTAACAATAACCATCAGTCATGACTAACATTCAACGTTTATTTAATGGAAGAGCCTCCTTATAAATATAGTTTCGGACGAAAAGTCATTAGCTGCCTGAATAAGAGTTTCCGTCCAGTGACGTCTCGCTAACACTCGATTGGTGAGCTCTGCATGTTCGAGATTCCACGAATCAACCGGAAGTACAATATAACAATTTGGGATAGAGATCAGAACGCGTTTCACGTGTGTCGAAGAAAAAGAATTGTAGACAGGATTCAAAATGACGCAGAAAGGAATAGTAGGGGGAATTTCGTATTTGGCATATCCGACCTGTTCAGAACTAATCAATCGAGCGCAACGTTAGTCATAAGATAAAATTGGGTAACGCTACGTATATTATCTAAGTCAGTACGTACCGAAATAAGTCAACACGTACGTTAATGACCAATTTAGGTTTGGATGATGTAGTTTCTAAAAGTTGGAAAGAAACATGAACTAAATGTTATTAAAAATGCGCAAATTTTTTTTTTAAATGAAATGGCGTTATAGAGAGGAAGACAAATACAAAAATTCTACAACGTACAAATTTTTTCCCGAACCCTTAGCGTAGCGTTATCCGCCTATAGGCTACCTAGCGATTTGACAAATTTAAATTTAGTTCAGAAAGGACAGATAACCGAAATATTACCAGCAGAGTGCAAATATATTTGATGTGCAATCGATCTACTTCTTATATAATGTGAATTCTAATCAATTCATTATATTTACAAAATAAATATTTAACTTTATATACAAGGCTTGGAATTCATAATCCATGGTTTGATAAATACGCCTCATGATAAAAACATTGACTTAACTTATAGATAAATAGCTCGGCTTACAATATAAAAACATAATATATACAAATAATATCGACGTGCCAGCAAATCGTTCAGGCCGATATCCAACTGGGAAAATAAAATTTATTCCAATTTAAAAACAGAATACGAAACTAATCGTTAGCTATATCAATGATAGCTTTTTAGAATTCAAAATACAAAACAAAATACGAAACTAATCGCTAGCTCTTTTTTATATAAAAACCAGAATACGAAACTAATCTTCGTAATATCAATGCTAGCTTTCATTGAAAATGATTTTTTTTACGAAACTAAATGTCATTGATTTAAAAGTCACGTGACGTTTATTCAAAATTTGTAGTCATATGTTGGTGAGGAAAGATTTAAACCTGGCAAAAATTATGACCTAAATATTAATTATTATCTAATGGCCGTCTATATGCTTCACTTTGGTTTGAATTAGGCTTTTGTCACGATCACCCTAAAAATGGCAGCAAACCTGTGTCTGAATGCTCGCCTGTCACCACGACTGTCGTCATTTAGCCAAGCTCTGAAGTTAATTTCAAACAAGGAAACCTTTTTATCGTTCACGAACATTCTATGCAAACGGAAAATACTTTTTTATTAATTCATTGAAGACTTTTTTTTAAAGCCGAGAGCAAAGTTAACGTTGGATAGGTAGTTTAAAAAACAGGAATATAAATAAATAGAAACAGTGTTATGGTTACTTTGTGCTGGCTGTTTATTTCTGTTATTTCTATGACGGAGGGCTAGAGGCAAAATTTACATTGTTTGTACGGTTTTTTTTTCCGGAACGAAAGCAAAATATTGTTTTTGCTTTCATATTGTCAAAGATTGAATAGAAAATGACAATTGATAACCCATTGTGTTTCTATAAATAGAAAACAAAGATTAGTTTTAGGTTCAGGAAATGGTCGTGTCGGAAATGTAGGCGGCTATCAAAACTTTCCACTATACGATTCATTTTTATTCCCGTCCAAAAAATGGCCTCTTTGTACTTCAAGGTATTGTTGTAACTTCAAAAGCAAAACATACATTGATCATAACTTCGTATAGTTCCTGCAATTGCAGCTATAATATATACTAAAAACATTTCAAAGATTTAATGAGTTTAAAAATGTTTTGTCACAAATTTTGACATAAAGGTAAAGGCCAAGTGAACGCAATGTCATGAAAAAATTGTACAGATCTTAAATACCTTTTGTTCGATAAAACGAATCTTTCTCTTAGAAGAAACGACACATATAGTGCGGTATTTTAATCCGATTGGATCGATAAAAAAATTGTTTGTTATTACTATAATTCTAAATTCTTGACACTTTTATCGTATTATAAAATATGGTGTATCAACCACCATTTTGTGTTTATCAGTAGTATTTAGACCAATTAGCAGTAGGGTTTCAAAATTAACTCATTGGTGTGAAAAATCAATGGTCTGAAGTTTTTGTAGGCGGACGTCCATTAAAGGGATTGTGAGCGTAAAGAGGTTCTCTGAACTTTTTAAGTGAATCGGGTACGTACCTCTATGAGTCATGATTCCTGAGAATTTAGGATATCAAAACTAGAGCTAGGAATAGACTCGATGAGTCGAATGAAATGAGAATTGCTTTATGTACAGTCGTTCCTAAAAGTGAAACACATGTTGTTCCATAGAAATCAGAAATCATTTGCAAAATATTTCGTGACGTCATCAATTCTACATTTGGTTTTGATGACGTCACATTACAATACCAAGGCATACAATCTGTAAGAATGGAGCTGAGTTTGAAATTTAAAAGGCACCAAATTATTTAATATAAAAAAATGTGAAAAAAATTCATTGACGTTTCAAACGATTGAGGCCACCGTATTAAATATGAAAAAAGAAAATTGAAAACTTTGTATGAAAATTAAAGAATAAGGAACCTTGAGTTAACAAGTTTATTTGGCAGTGTAGAACTGTCGATTCTCTTTGACTCTCTCAAAGAATGGACATCCCCTGTCCCGCTTGAAAGTTTAACGCACAGGACGGGTGGTAAGTTTTATTGTGAGGGTGTGAAAAGGTGAAAAATTATGTACGACGCGGAATTTTCTTTACGATGCAAAATAGAGAAGCAAATACACGAGGAATGGGTCGGATAGGGTGCGGGCCATCTTCACAATGTCAAGTTATTTTAACTGTATCGTATACTTTGACTGCAATAGACACCTTTCTTTTATCACTGCATGCAGCGATTTGATTGGATTGTATGCTACCAAATACAGCCAATCATAGCCATTGACAGAAAGACTTGAACGATTTGGCTCATTGTTTACAGACTCTCTGTCGAGGACGCTGATTGGCTGTATCCGCTAGCATACAATCCAATAAAGTCACTTCATTTACAAACTTGCGTGAAGAACGGTGGCTAATGCAATCGAAATAAAAGACTCTTGATGGCTTGATACCAATGTGGACACAACGCTTTTCTATCTTTACTATATCTATACCCCTGTATCGTACCCCGTGTATACGCTTCCTCTAATTTCCACTGTATCAATAATCCCACACCTAGTCTATTCGCACCTTTATACAAATTTATAGAATTAAGACCAAAGTCATTCTATTTTCATTCATTGAATGTATAAAGAAAATGACTACAGTTTGCCTGGGGCATCAATAAGGTTAAATACTAGAAGAAACTATCATCAACACATTTAAACTATCAACTTTCTATCCAAGTCATTGTTCTTTGTCACTTAACGCTGGTTTTCAACTTGCAGTGTTTTTACTAGACGAATCTGGATAATCGATCATTTGGTTTTGGTCTTGATTGACATGTCCTAATTTCTCACGATTAAGTAGCGGTTTCAATTTCCTCGGCAAGGATGCTCGCTGCCCATGCGATAAATGATTTTCTCCGGCCCGACTTCCAAATCTTCCCGGATGACTAGACTCGGAACTATTTCCAGCGCGGACTGTCATATGGGAGTATTTGGTGAGCACATTTTCCACAGCTCGGGCGTAGGTTTTGTCGGTCGGTATTTCCGGATGCAAAGCATCGGATTTCACATTTGATTTTTGTCTGTTATTAACGCTGTTCGATTTTTTAATAAACCGAGTGCCGTCGGAGTCCGATTGGAAGGTTTCACTTTCTCGTCTTTTGTCTACGTAATTATCCTGAAGAGGAAGGGCTGAGGAATCACTTTTCACGCGTCGTCGGTCGAACGTTGCAGGAGATAGAGTATTTTCAGTATAATTAGGAGGATTAATGTCTGAATGGATTCTACCGTCTCGTTTTTCCGATTCACTTCCACTCAGTTGGCGGCCATGTTTACTGGTGTTTTCCGTGTTGCCATAGTAACGGTTCGCATGGCCCACAGTTTCCAACGATTTTCTTCTATCGCTTAGCTGATCGGAGACGAAATTAGTGTTCACATTTAAATTGCTGTCGACTGTGTCTTGAATCACGATAAAAGTATCGTCGTTGTCTATGTCGATCACTTCGATTTCCCCGTCTAACGAACTATCGTCGTCACTGTCCGCGTGGTACAAAGCTTGTCCAGCGGATTTCGGCCGAATCCGTCGATCAACTTTAAACTCCTCCTCCTTTTCCTGATAAAAACTCCGTGTTATTTCACTCTTCACATCGGAGACGTATCCCCTATCCAATGTATCACTTTCATCCGTTTGAAGACGTCTACGAGGTACGTTAGATGGACGTTCATGCCCTGACGTGCTCGGCGTCGAGAACACACCGAACGTTTTCTCCCGGTACAGTTTTCCAGTAAATGGCTTAGTATCCTTTTTCGTTTTCTTTGGTTTTCTGCGGCCAAGAACATCAGTTTCTGACACTTTTTGCATATCCAAAGTTTTTCGAATTCCGAATCGATCTCGGTTTCGAACCGGATGCAAGGATTTTTTATTGGCTAACAATGAACTCGAAGTGGTTCTTGTCTTTGTTCTTGGGTAAGCACCGACACTCGGATCGGCGGATGCATGCATAGGATCACGACGCACCATCGGAATACGAGTAGTCATACGACCAGAAGTTTTGTCGGAAGGTTTGTTGTCGTTTGACCACATCTTGCGTTCCAAAGTACTAATCATTTTTATCTGCGAAAAGGTCGTAACTTTGCGAGTATCTCCGATTAGTTCAGCATAGTTTTACACCTGAAAATAGAAGATGATATGTTATAAGATGATCAAAGTCGATTCTATTGGACAATCCGCAACAATGCCCAGAATACCATCATTATAATCGAGAATTTTACTTACAACAATATTAACATCATACATGATAATCGAGAATACCATCATGATAATCGAGAATACCATCATGATAATCGAGAATACCATCATGATAATCGAGAATACCATCATTTGTGATAATCGAGAATACCATCGTGCATGATAATCGAGAATACAACCATGCATGATAATCGATAATACCACCATGATAATCAGGAATACCACCATTTCTGATAATCAAGAATACCATCGTACATGATAATCGAGAATACCACCATTTCTGACAATCGAGATTACCATCGTGCATGATAATCGAGAAAACCATCCTGCATGATAATCGATAATACCGCCGTGCATGATAATCGATAATACCGTCGTGCATGATAATCGATAATACCCTCGTGCATGATAATCGAGATTACCATCGTACATGATAATCGAGAATACTATCATGCGTGATAATCGAGAATGGAATCACAATGTAAGTAAACTCAAACCCGAAGTCCTCATGCAATGCAATTCAATTACATTATTGCCAAGGATGATTTTGATCTCAATTTTGTAAATGGAAAAACGTTAGAATTTTAAAAAGATAGCAACACAACGCGTTGTCATAATAACATTATTTGATTGCATGGAGCTCAAACGAATTACTCATGCGTGTATCGAGTAATGCACTTCCATGTGATATATTACGATCGATCTGTATCTACATACAGAAAAAGATAGGTTGCAATGTAATCGAATTCGTAAAATATTCATGCCATTCTATTGCAGCATTAAAGTCGAGGCACATTTCAAATATTGCACCGAGCTTGTAAGTTCAAATAGTGTCGCGTCGTTCGTATAGGACACTAGACCGAGGCCTCGTATGTAGCAGGCTGTCTTTCCTTTATTGGACAGTGCATGGCGTTACTCGTTTTCATGTGCCCAATCATGTGCAGAAAAGCCAGTCGTAAAACACATTTCAATTAGTTTCAATTCAAATTTTCAAATTTCAATGCACAATTTTCAGCGGTATGACTATCTGATTAGGGTAAATTGTTGAAACGTTCCAAACGGAATCTAATCATATATATTTTTCTGAAACAAAAAGACCGTGGTTTTGAAAACTTTTGAATCTTTTCCCAATTTTATCCTATCCCGCGTTCTCATTCCACAGACAAGAACTCCCCCCCCCCCCACCCCTTCCTCCCTCCTGAGAATCACACAGTTGCACTGAAGTTTAACAAAAGACCAGTTAGGACCTCAGTTAAAACAAAGAATCCTAGAGATCGATTATTAACAGTTCTTTGATGTGGTCAATAGAGACTACAAACATGACCTAGTTATTTACATCTAATATTAATATAGATATTATCTAACTAGGTCAATTACACACTGAGCTCTTTTAATACGTCATTTACCTAGATTCCAGATTATCCTCCTTTGTGGTTTGATCTTACCGAAGCCACTTCAAGCCACATATCATTTTAAGCAGTCAAAAATGACTAAAACTTTATACGAAAGGCCCAAAGTGTTCATCTTGGAAGTCAGTAATGATGATGGTGATGTAATGACGATGATGGATGATGATGGATGATGATGGATGATGATGGATGGATGATGATGGATGATGATGATGTTTATGATGATTATGATGATGATGTTTATGATGATGATGATGATGATGATGATGTAATGGTAATGATCATGAATGACAGGTTATGAAAATGATGATGATGATGATGATGACGACGGAGACAATGATAATGTTAATAATGATGGTGATGAAAATGATATACTCTTTACTTTAAATTGATCAGAATTATGTACACTACACCGACCAAAAGTTCAGATTTTGCCTGAAACCCACTACTATTTCATATTCTCATGAAAATTTAAAATTTATGAAACACAAATTAGCTATGGTATAACTTTTCATTAATAATTCTCTTTAATTTATAACAATGCCGCCTTTTTGGTAGGACTTTGGTGACCATTGTAAAAGACATCTTAAGGCATCCCTCAGGAAGTTTCTTTGTATGACAATGACGTAAATTCAAAGTTTTGTTGGTTTTCTAAGAGAATGAAAAGGCTTATTGTGTTGCTCTGATCGCAATTAATTTTGAATGTGGTGATACCACAAATGGAAAACGAAAACGTTAGAGTTACAATGCCACAATGCGGCTGTTATCACAATAGATGTTGTTTCTCAAATATTTCAGCAATCAATATAGCATTTATTTTCCAGAAAACAATTGACAGTGAAACGTGACAATTTCAATTAAGATACAACTTAAAATACTGTTTGTTGAAATTTGTCAATATGTATATAATTTTAATTCAATATGATCTAGAAATACAAAAATATCACTTGGGTGTCAATCAATTTCAATCGAGAGTCGACTCAATATCTAATAGGCCTACTATATTTTAAATCAACACTTCTTTGTATTCAAATGAATTGAATGGAGTTTTACGTCCTATTCTTCCAGGCCTAATTTGGTCAATGGAGGCAAGCAACGCCATGCAGTGTGCCATGTGGGTTATTTTGCAAATACAGACTCATTAGCCTGCTGTTTTTCGATTCCCACCTGTTGAGGTATCTTTAACATGCACAGTCTGCAGCACACGGGGTCTTGGTTTATTGTCATATCAGAACGACAAAACACGTTTTCCATGTCACACGACAACCGAGAATAGAACCTACGACGACTAGTTGTTCGACGTTATCAAGCAAATCGTCTTTCCAGCGTTTTAACCTATATATTATGCGCTGAAGTTCCCCTGAACTTAACCTCAAAACCTTGACCTAATAACTAAAAAATGCAGGTGAAACTAAGAATATATTGTAATTGTGAAATATATAATTCATGGTGAATTAATATTTATTATGGAAAATATGCTATATTTAGACCCTCATACACGTCACAAAGATGGAAATAATGTTCTTATATTAGCTTAATTAATAAAGAAGGTTGATTATTGATTTTTTCTCATCCTTAGTGGATTTCTTTATCTCCACTTTGCTACTAGCCTCGCTTGAGTAGTTCTCATCATTACCGCTTTGCATGTAACTTGACTATTTCATCCGCCTATAGTGTAAAAATAAAACTGAGTTTTACGTATTACGTATTACGCCAATGGAAGGGGCGGGGGTGGGGGGTTAGTTCTTGTACCACAGCCTCGCTTTAGTATTTCATTTCATTACCGCTTTGCATGTAACTGGACTATTTCATCGGCTTATAGTGTAAAAGCAATGGGGAGGTAGAAGGAACTTTATGTATTACTTATTACGCTAATGAAGGAAGTGGCTCATTGCTGATCCAATATAAGCACAGTGGGGGAATAGAAATGGAGTTTCCCTACACACTTGGTTTCGAAACTAAAGAATAAGTTCTTTACGATAACAGCAACAAAAGTAACAAAAGTAAAGAAATCAGCATAAAAGCAATCGATTCCAGCATTCCGTAAATGATTCGAATATCTTCATCATCAGCAACGGACCTCTTCAATTAAAGGCGGTCTCTTAGTACTTACGTGTTCTCGAAGATCGATTTCCCCTTTCGTGCATTGTAATACAGAAATAGAACTTTGTTCTAAATTTAACAGCATATGCAGATGGTTTTTTAAGCTCCGCTTAAGCAGTAATAATTCGACAACACGCGCCATTTTTAGTCAATATGTCAATCAATATGACGTCATACACTAGCAGAAGTAAAAAGGGTTTGTTTGTTTGTTTGTTTACTATGTGCTGTTGGAAACCATGTCGCATCAATATATTCTGCATGTACAGTTTACTATAGGTTAAGTCCTAACTAAACTAATTATAAAGAATTTAACCTATACAATGTACTTCAAACTGATCAACAAGATTCAAAGATGGACGTCACTGGTAAAGCCGCATGGGTAGGCTACCTCTCTTAAATGTTAAATTTTTACCTTTCCCACACTGATTGGGACTGACTGGAGATCGAAGCTATCTCGAAACAAACTGATTGGGACTGACTGGAGATCGAAGCTATCTCGATACAAACTGATTGGGACTGACTGGAGATCGAAGCTATCTCGATACAAACTGATTGGGACTGACTGGAGATCGAAGCTATCTCGATACAAACTGATTTGAACTGACTAGAGATCGAAACTATCTCGACAGAGGCTGATTGGAACTGACTAGAGATAGGAGCTATCTCGACAGAGGCTGATTGGAACTGATCAGAGCAGTGGCAATTCTAGATTTCATAAGTTGGAGGGGCCAAGTAGGGGCTACGGAATCGTCAAGGGAGGGCTTGATTAGACTGATTGGAATCGAAGCTATCTTAATGTAGACTGATTTGGATAACTGATCGAAGTATCATAAGAAATATCAATAAAGTCTATTTAATCAAGTAAACGAAATTTAATATTTGTTCAAGAACGTAATGATCGGGAACAATAACAAGCAATAAGTATGTGTACTTTTTACAATGACCCAATTACATATCTGGCGCCTAATTAAATAATCATTATTTTTACACAAGGAAGTAACACATTGACTGGGTGTATCTAAAAGGGTTGGTAAATAATGATAAAAAGTAGATCATTCACTATAGTAATCGACACTTGGCCTGCCCACACATTCTATTGAAAAGCCAGTTGTGCACTTTTAGCTTTTCTGTTCAGATTGATTACAGACTTACAGACTATAATATAATGAAAATTAGAAAACGTGATAAATACTGCGTCACAAAATGCTAGCGCTGAAGAGGGTAGAAATTTGATTGGTTAAAGCAACGTCATCGAGTTAAGTCAAAAGGTTAATTTGACGAACGTTCAAGAAGGCTGTCGTTAGATCCTAACTGCTAATATGAAACGGAACGAAAGTTTGATTTTGATAAGACTTTTTTTTGTATAATTTCTAAAACGTCGATTTGGATAACTGGCCAGCCTATTCCTTTATCTATGCCCTATGGTAAGATTCTTTATGTATCAGCTCGCCCAGTACTTTGCAAGGGGTGAATAATTCAACCAACCGTTGTGGATAGAATTGAACATAGTTGTCTGGAATCTCCACCGTAAGCAATATACATGAGAAGTCTTTGTTCTTATAACGACCACCCCCCCCCCCCCCCCAAACACACACGCGCCGCCCTCTTCTATCTTTTATGGAACTTTAGTACCATATTTCCTTTTCTGGATTCGATCGATCATTCCTTACCTTCATTTAATATGATTTTCTATCGAACTCTCCCCCATAATTACATTCCGTACCCTGGTTAACAACCACCACTGTATCCAGGTGTGGTCGGAAGAATTTTAAGAATCTTCCAATATCTTGAAATGGATTAAAGGTATGTATTCGTGCAGTTATTTGCTATTCTAGATTTGACTATATTTCTAAGTAAAATGGTGTTTTAACTCTTACTTTTCTGCTACATATTGGGCTAATGAAGACGGACAATGTCATGCAGTGTACAATGAGGGAAATTCAACAAGGAAAACAAGACTTAACGTTAGCTGTAATCGGGGTTTTCACAGCTGATGAAGCGAATAATAAGACGAATATATAGCTTTAAAATCCAACTCAATTACATAATTCAATTTCCAATTTCAATTAACCACTTCGGTTTTTTTTTCTTTTTCCATTAACTCTCAGCGAGAATCAATGATTGTTTCCAATTTTCAATAATGAGTGATTTTCATGTATTCCATTAGCTTAATTGAAGGTACTACTCAAAGTATAGTAATATACACACAAATTGCATCATTTACAATCAAAGATTTAGTCTGATTCAACGAAACAAGAGTTCATAATGACCGGGAACATTGCAGTCTAATTGAAATTAGAAAAACTTTCGTTCCGTTTTTTATTAGCTTTATTTTTAATATAGCCACTTCCGAAGCTTATAACAAACGGAACGAAGGTTCGGTCTCATTTTAATTAGACTTCGGGACATTAGAGCTCTTTCTAACTTTGAATTAAGAAAAACAAAAAACACACTTATTATCCTTACCGCAAAACGAAACCAGAAATTCGAAATAACAGTAACGTTATACATTGGTAAGAGCAAATGAACTATTCATTTGAGGAAGTATATCAATTATAAATGAGTAAGTATTTCATAATGGAAAGTGATATCAGCTGTCTAGAAGAGTAAGTATACCTTACTTGAAACTAAGACAACAGGCCCGTAGCCAGACTAGATTGATCGAGGGGGAAATTTGATGTTAAGTTCCACTGACGACATAGGTCGGCCATTTTTTTCGGGGGTAGAGAGAGAGAGGGGGGGGGGGGGGGAATCACTTTTTGAGGGCGGTATTTGAATTCATTGGAACTTCATTGATCGTTTTGTTCGAAAACTTGTTCAATGACTTTTTTCTTATAATGATTTCTAAAGTTCAACGGCAAGATAAAAATCAGTGAACTTTAGTAATGTCGATAGTATCTTTATTTCCAGCGATAAATCTGGTATTTTCCATAGATATACTAATTACCTAGGTAATGACGTAGGATCAGAAATGTGTATGGGATGAGAGAGGGCCAGTTTTTATACTGACGATGGAACTTACTCCCAAAACATACCCAAACTACAGAGAAAGGGAGGAACGAACCAAAGAACCATCTTTTACAAGGATAACAATTTAGGTTCACTGAAGATCCTTTCTTCCAGCTGGTCCATGGTCAATATTTACTTAGTTTAATGTTTTTTGCAATGTTT